ATAAAGCAAGATGTTTCTTGGCAGAAAGATACCTGTAGGCTTATGTGAGTGGAAGCGGATTTGTTGTTATATTTTCATCCTATAAAATAATGAAAATGGAATACATAATCAGTTCCAGCAACTCAAACAATTCAAATTGATATAACAGCTTAATCTTACAATAAAATAAACAGTAAAATAATCTTACAATAAAATAAAGGTATCCATTGACTGAGTCATCACTACTGAGTCGTCATCATCATGGGCTGGTTGCAGTTCAAGAGAGGATGATGACACTTGGCAGCTGAGACCTCCAGCTTCCCCTTTTTGGCAGGCCCATGGCCAGGGAAGCATTGTGTCAGGTGCTAACTTCAATGCTTTCCATCAGCGACTCCTAAATTAATGAAGAACCCTCATGTTAAATAAATATAAATACAGGGCAATGCATCATCTCTTCCAGGCAGATAGAGTCCAAATTTTCAGAAGCACCCAGATGAACCTTAACCCAACCCTGCTGGTCTTACTTGCTAAAGTAAGACCAGTAGGGTTGGGCTTTTTTACATCCTCTAACAATGATGAAACCTTAAGGCATGAAAACCCTTAATTTCTTGCCATGCAAATTACAATTAAAGGGGACTTTGCACCACAAGCTCTTTGTCAGACTTTGGGTGGATGTGAACACATAGCTCAACTTACCTGGTTTCTCTCCCTCCAGCCCCAGCTCAGGGAAAGTTCTCTCCTGTTTGTCACCTCAAATACTAATAACCTTATACAAGAAAACGTAATTAAGTGTGGCCCTTGGGTTTTTTTTTGTTTTGTTTTGGGCTTTTTTTTTGCATTTTTTATGAATTCACATACTGAGTATCTGAATCCAGGTGTCTGTTATTAGCTGGGGAACATTTCCTCGAGGGCTGGATTTTCCAGAACGGAGAGGAAACAATGCTCCTCTACTAAGTCCAGTAGAGTTTTGGTGCTTAATCTTATAAGGCAGCATCTTAGGCTGGGCACACAGAATCAAATTCTGGATAGCAGAGGCTGCCTGTGCTGGGTTGCACGGGGTACACACCTGAAACTCATCCTGAGCAGTTTTCATTCTGCCAGCACTTTTTCTCTGCTCTACTAATGCTATCTGGAACTCAGCATTTTACTTCTCAGAGAATGATGCTGATTTCTTCCTGGGCTCTGTCTTTATACTCTAATCTTGCTTGAAGTTTTCAAATTGATTGTTCAGTCCTGCTTCAACTGGAATAAAAACATCTCAAGTTTATCAGGTAATACAGTATCTCCATAAAGCCATGAACAGTTTTAAATTATTTGAAATCTGTCCTAAGGTGTCTTAGACACTTGTAACTCCACCCTGAATTTTCACTCATGAGTAACACAGAGGATGCCACCTTTTACACATATTTGACCTTCTCTCAGACTTCCCATTTGATTTTGTAACTGAGTGGCTCCAACAGTTGAATTTAATCATGAGATCCACTAATCTTCAGTTTAAAGGTATGTTAAAGCCAGTTAAGCTGGCTTTCAGAAAGTCACAGAGGAAAGTTAGAAAATCAGCTAAGCGGGTCAACAACTTTAAAGTATTAAAGCTAATTTAATAGTGAATTTAAACCAATTGAGTTCATGGCTTTGAAAGCTGTATGCAATAGAACTGGGACTGAAATGCTGTCAGTGTATGGCAGGGGAGGCGTACAGGGGTGTCCCAGCTGTGCATTCATCAGTTAGAAAGTGAAGAAACACTGCTTAGATGGCAGGTTTATTGATGAAAGGTAAATCAGCCCCCTTCTGCATTTATACACACTTGGCTTTGCAGCGAACTCACCTGAAGAGATTTAATAGTGCTAAGCAGGTGGATAAATGCCTGCAAATCTGGGCACTGAGGTCCACCCATCACCAACATCTTCCAGTATTTTTAAGCCATGACTAGCCTAAAAAAAGAGAAATAATTTTAGATAGTTTTAAAGATTTTACTGCTTCCCCCTGCCAAAAAAAAGAAAAAACCAACCACAAAACAAACCTCAACCCCAGAGCATGAGCTCAAAGACCTCAAATAGACCTTTTTCCTCTGGAAATGACATTTTTCAATTATTCAATAATTCTGGATGTTTTTTGAATGGTTTTAATTTGTTTCTCATGATCCATTCCTTTATAAAACACACCTGGAAAATGAGGTAAAGGAGGACAAGGGAAAAAAACCAAAACCAACTTACTTTTTATGTTTAGCAAAAAGCTATTCTGAACACTACCATTTCTTTCATTTAGAAGCTTGTCTATAACTGTTTAGGAAGCACTACTCCTGACATTTCACAATAAATACAAATAAAAAATAAAACCTACAAACATTTACAAAAAACATGCTTACAATAAAGCTATAAAGGCTTTTAAAATGTCAAGTATTTTTAGTAAACTCTTTGTAGGGTTGGTTTTGGTTTGGTTTTTTTTTTGGTCTATGGATGGAAAAAAATTCATAAGCTTCAAAGTGACCACTACAAATATTTGATTACTCCTTACGGTGTGTTCATTAGAAATTTGTTTAGCTTTGCTTTAGACAATTCAAACAATAGTTTCCACTGCTTCCTTGACAGACCAGAATATTCCACAATCTACTATAAAGTCCAGAGAGACTTCCTGATCTTCAGCCAAAATTCCTGTTTCTTTACATCATCTCACTGCTCCTGAATAGACAAGTCTTTGTATACAAAGTTCTCCCACAGTAGGAGTTAGACTCTCTCAACACGCTCACCTACAGAAATGTTAGGCCTCAGTCATCTCCAGCCTGTTCTGTATACAGCTGTCTATTCCCTTCCTCATGGTTGTACCATGAGGTACAAAATCTATGATTCTGTGCTTTTAAAAGCCTTACAGCTGCCAACAACTTTTTGCTAACACAGGGCTAAGTGGGCCAGAGGTAGCCAAGATACTGGAGCCATGTGTGAGTGGTGTAATAAGTCCAGGGCACTGGAACTGCTACGGATGTTTATGAAAAAAGCTCTGTAGACACACCTAAATAAGGGAAGCAGACACTGAATTTTGTATGTTAAAGTTTGTATCCTCTGCAAATGTAGACTGAATCAGCAGTATTTGCTTGCCTCTAAAAAACCTGAAAAGAATCAAATGGGCTTTTTTCCCCTTTTACTCCCAAATCGCTGTCATGTCTAATTTGAATCTCAGATAACACATCTTCATTTTAAAATACCATTCCTTGCTCTCAAGTGACCACACAAATCAGAAGCAGGGACAAATGAGAAGAAAAAAATGCCCACAATCTCATTCTCTCTTCTTACTTTGGCTTTGTAAACGTATAATCCAAACTTATCCTGCATAAATATAGTATAATATTATATAAGCACAATAAAGCATAAAAAGTAATAAATCTGGGCACAAAATTTGAAAATATACTTCTGCCACTTACCTAAACCATGCAACTCATTTTGCCGGCAGCGTCCCTGTTTTATACAGTGCAAAGGAAAGCAGTTGACTTAAAACCCAGTAATTATAGTGGTGTCTTTGTTTTGAAGCACTTGTAGATATCTCTCCATTAGCAACTCTCTGTCTCTGTTCTGGCTTCTCTACTGGACCGTCAGATGTGAAAAGTCTCCTTTTACTAATAACCTCTTCCAAGCCTGCTGTGGGTTGTAGGGGAACAGATAACTTTCACTTTTGGTATGATTTTTTTTTTTCTGCTTTCGTTACTCTGAGGAGAGAAAGTAGATGTTTTGACTTTTGAGGAGCAAGTGGCAAAAGTAATTTGCTCCTTTCAATGTGAGTTAATGGCAAGCTTTCTCGTTCTGAGCAAGAAGATTTTCCTTCTAAAGCCAAAGCTGATGATAGATCTGCCTTCAAGCATGTGTTTTCAAGAGAAGATGACTAAACACGTGGTTGTTTCTATTGCAAGGTTATATAGTAGCACTCATTCACTAAAAAAAGAAGAGTTCCCTTCCTGTCCTAGTGCAGATTATCTGTGTTGCATGCTATCTTACTAGCACTCTGATGGATATGAAAGAATGGTAAATGACATGCAAAGGCTACTTTAAGGCCAAAAGGAGAAAGGTTTTTGCTTTGGGTGAGGAGAGAGATGGTTGTTTTACTATCCTTTCCCCAGCACATTTACACCTCAGCTGAGCTCATAGTTCTCTCTTATTAAAGTGTGTGTAGAATTTAAATGCTTACTTTTGATTTAAAACAACCTTATATGTTCACCTTTCCTGAACCATTCTTGCTGTACAATCAAATTCCCAGATACTTTCTTTTGCTGCCTGTTACACTTAAAAACAAATAGAACCTCCCTGTTACACGAAGTAACAGTCTAACTAGAACTGAAGTAAAAAAACCCAAACCTCATGAAAACCTAACAAAGTAATTTCAAATTTTCTCCTGGCTTCTGTACAAGAAACTGAAAATTCGGTAATGATTCACTCAAAATAACACTGTAGACTGGTTTCCATAGCAAAATTTCTGTCTAAAATAATTTTGGTCAACTGCCTACACAACTAAGGTACTAATTAATGAGAAAAACCACAACAGTTTAGCATTTCTCATGATTTGGCCTTGGATGAAGGTCTCCACAAGCAACAGGGGCTGAGCAGGGCACGCTTGAACAAAATTGCTGCTCAAGACAGCAATTTTTCTGCTACAGTATATGACTTTATATTTGCACTCCGAAAAAAACCACTTTATAAAAATGGCCTGAGTTTGGAGTCACGAGAAAAATAAACGAAAGCTGAAAATTCCTAATATGTCTGTAAAAAAAAAAAAATCAAGCCATCTTTCTAGAGATCCATAAGGGAGGAACTGCAGGCTCAGCTGTCATTGTGCACGTCTGCACGCTGTGGATGAGAAACGCAGAACAAAAAGGTGTGGGTAATGCAATGATTGCAAAGTACAACACACCATGGCTTGGTGTAATGTTTCCTTTGCATTGTACAAGCCATGTCTGTTGAAAACAAGCGTAGGGTGTGCTTCTGTAAAAAGGAGTTGAGTTACTCCTGTCTAAAGCCACTCGGTGTCTCCCCTCCCAGGGAGCCAGCATGCCGCAGTATAAGCTGACTTACTTCAACCTGCGAGGGCGAGCAGAAATCAGCCGCTACCTGTTTGCCTACTCGGGCAAGAAGTATGAAGACCACAGAATAGAAGCAGCAGACTGGCCCAAAATCAAACCAAGTAAGTAGCACGGGTTCTTACATCCAAAACTCTGCTAGAAATGGTGTCAAAAAGCAAAGCAATTTAAGAGGTATCTGTATGTTTCATGAGCAGAAATACACTTCATTTCTGGTTTTAATTAAGCCTATGGGAATTTTATGGTGAGACAGCCAAAATGTCATTCCTGATGCCCTTGCAGAAGTCTGGATCCAAATCTTGAGACAATCTAAAATTACTGACTCGCTGTCATCCAGCTGGGCTTATACTCCTTATCAATTCAATATAGATTTTGTCTACCTAAAGATAGCTAAATGAGTGCTGGTCTTCTCAGCTTCTTTGGAGAATTTGGTCTCAAGGACCACACCTCAGCCTTCACACTGGATTTCAGAAAGCCAAATTGGAAAGAAGTGTCAGGAAGAACACTCCTTGGTAACCAGAAAGGTTTTCAGAGAGGGAAAGTGATGAGAGAAAACACGAGAAATCAGTTGATAAAGGAAAGGAAAAAACAAAAGGATCAAAAGAAATGCTAGAAAATAATTGTTCCTATGAACAACCCCTACTAGCCTCAGAGTACCCTGCAGGCTATTGTACCCCATCCATTTAATGTTTTTTAGTTAAAGTAACCTCTTTTCAGCTATTAAAGGTATTAATTATTTCTGTTTATTAAATTAGCCTTAGTTCAAATGAAACAGATCTTGAGTTTGAAGACTGAGGGTGTGAAATCAGAGAAATCTGTGTTTTCATTTTGTGGATTAGGCCTGTGTTTTGCTACATGGGCTATGATTTTTCACATCCAGAATGAAGGATAATGCCTTTAGTTTAGGGAAAAGGCACAACAAATGCACAAGGTGATTTCTACTAATTAAACAATGTTTGTTGATAGACTTTCATACCATTTAATAAGCCCAGTCAGCAGGCTACCAAATTCTTGTAGGGTCCAGTTAAATTTGGTTTTTCCTGTTTGCAGCGACGAACAACAAATACTCAAGCACCACTGTTCTCCAAGTGGCATCTGAACCCTTCTGTGGTGCTCAAACCTAGAAAACACTGGCAAACTATCCACAGAGAATAAAGCAGTGGAAATGTACTGTTTTCAGTTAGGGATGACTGACTTTGGAAACCTTTTCTTTATAAGAGCTTAAGCCTGTTGACATGTGGTATAGCTTATTTCTCTCCCACTATAATTCTCAGGGAAGCAGGGTGGAAGCTAAAAGTGAGACTAAGAATTCAGATGACCTGAGGAAAGCTCTGCATAGGCCTTTCATACATATTCACATGTATGCACACTCACTAATGTCCTGAAACAAAGTTGAGAATATAAGTAAAGTATAATTTTGTGTAGAGTCTTGCATACTTATTTTTAAGTAAGACAAATTAAAAAGACAAAGCATAATTAGTCAGTTAAAGGCTACAGAGGCATTTATATCCCAGGACAAGATGTTCTAATAGCAGATCTATCAGATAAGGTAAAAGCATTGCACCTCTCTTTGAATGTGGTTGATGTCCCCAATGTCTGAGCCAGCACAAGAAACAGTGCAGCAAAATTCTTCCCATGCTTTTCTTCAGTACTCACACCATGAACCTCCCAGTGAAGCTTTATGTGTGCAGTACTTGTTCACTACAGTGTAAGCCCATCTGCAGCACCATTACCACCAAAACACTGGGAGCAGAGGCACCCTAGAAATCCTAAAGTATAAAGTTTGTAACTGTATCTGCTGCATTATCAAATGGTGGTTAAGTTATTTAACCATGGGTTGTCTTTGTTTCCCTTTCTGTGATGCAAAAATTTGCTAGCAGGTTTACCAAGGGTTAATTAAGATTTTTCATTTTCTCTGCATAATGGCTTTTTGCAGCAGCCTCTATGACTGATCCCTGGAAGAAATTCCAAAGCAGATAAGAAGTTTAGTTAAATGTGGGGGCTGCTGCTCTCAGATTTGTGAAATCAGCTGTGTAAAATTTATACTGGCCTAAGAGTTCTTTGAATTTCAGACTTCTGTAGAAATCCACTTAGTCAGAGGATGGGAACTGGAATGCATTGTGCTAATTGAGCAGGAAAACATACACCTACAAAGAAATAGTTGGATGCACGTCTGTAAGTGCTATTACATCTTATGCCAGGATATTAAACTTCTGCTCTGGAAGGCTCATTGAATCCTAGCTCAAGCACCAATGGAATGGTGCCATCTGCCACTGGTGACATCCGCATTACAGACAACATGCCGTTAAGAGGTTTGCCAACTAGAACAAGAGTAAAGGTTTCTTATATGTATAAAAATGTAATGCTGCTAAGGAAATTGTCTGGAGATCATGTAACTGATAACCACCACCTCCTTTTTGAAGCAATAGTATTTCTCATAGTTACTCATGGTATTTCCAGACAAAGTATTCTCCCGCAGGCAAATCATTCAGCAAAACTCTGAATTAAAGGTAGCAACAGGGCTTTGGAGTAAACAGCCTTACACTGTTCAACAAGACCAATAGCCAGGGCCCCATTCTGCCCCAGGTACTTAAAGCCTAACTTTGCAGGCTGTGACTCAGCACAAGAAATGCCTCCTGGCTAGGGACTAGGTTGTACAGCACAGATGACATGAAAAACAAGCCTTGCATTCTCTGGTATCCTGAATTTTCAAAATGTGCCTCGGCTGAGGCACGGATTAAGGAGGAAAAAGCACCAGGTAACTGGATCCTTGCCAAAAAAAGGTTCAGTTGCTGCTGTGTTCAAAAATAAACATGAAAATGAGGGGATCCACCAAACTCATTGCAAATACAAATGCACAGTTCACTGTGCTGAGATTTCTTCTACACTACTGTCATTCGTATTCTGTATTCAGATCTGTCTTATAAAGCTCAGGATTTTTCCCCTCCATTTTTTCAGAACTAAGTCTACTTCAGAAAGAAAAAAAGTGGCAGATTTCAGCCAGTCATATCCTGGTGAAAAACAGTGTGGTCAGTATTTAGCAATGATAAAGGGTATTACAGCTGCATTTGTTGTAATAGCAGTTAATGTAATAGCAATTTGGTACACCCCTTATTTTGCAGCCCTCAAAAGTCATTAAAATTGGTCCAATTAATTGAACTAATTATTTAATTGTATATTGAGGTGAGATTAAGAAATATCAGACAAATTGCTATGCTCAGTTGCATACACCATCTTTGACTTTACCCCTTGCCTCTGAAAGATCTGGAACCAGTTTTGACTGCAGTCTGCAAGTAGAACCTGATGTCTCTCTTTTTAAAAGCCTCAAGTATGATGAAGCAAGATAAACAAAAAAATACTTAAGGAAGAAGTTTGGACAAGAAGAGTACTTCAGGTTTCTTGAGCTACTAAGGAACAAATTGAAGAATTCAAGTTTATCTAAGAGCACAAGGAGTCAAGTCTCTGACTGAGATCTGAGAGGATAGGTTTGCTTCAGGAGTTCTCACAAATTAAAGTCAGGTTTTGCAAACAAATACCAACCCAGTCAAATCATCATACCATATGAACCAGAAACTATCATCATTATTCTGAAGAACAGAGTTTTGTAAAATTGACGGGAAAATTCGGGCATTGAGATTTATGTTCAGAAAGGGCATTTAGAAAGCAGGCTTGTGGCTGACGCAAGTTTAATTTTTGACCTGAACTGAAGAGTGTGGTGAGGTTTGTTGTTTGTTTTGGCATTTTTCATGTGGCTTCCACCAGGAAGCTGTAGTCTTAACATACCTTCAGGTAAATAAATAAGCTCTCCCTCCTGGAAATACTGTTCCACTTGATTTTGTTTACATTTAAGTGGTGCTTTTTTCCTGTAGAAAAGCAAGGTATATTATAACATAAGAAATTATGTTATTTGCCTTATACAATCTGAAATTAAAATTCTATGACTCGACATTTCTTTTTTTCTCTTCTGACTCTAATCAGATCATCTTTGGTAAAATTTCCAGTTGTTGATTTCAGGCAAGGACTGTAGTTTATAATATAAGCGCTCTTAAGCAAACCGGTGTATAAGTAGTATTATTGTCCAGCTTTAGCACAGAATCTAAAAAAAAACCAGACAAATATCAAGTAGCAGCTTTCCATAACCCTTCACTCTATATGGGTCAATAGTTATTTAAACAAGTAAGCAAACTCATGCTGTACAGTTCCTTTTGAACAGACTTTGACTCGACCGTGCCACTATTTAAAGGGTAGTCAATTTAAGATCTGTAACAGATTTGTTCAAGATCTGTATTTCTACATAATGGGCTCCTCACCAAAAGCATCATAATGGGTTCCTCACCAAAAGTCATGACACAGCAGAAAATCCACTGTAATGGTACAGTTACCATTGCCTTGAGATATTGGGCTGGCAGGCAGTAGCAGCTTTTGATCTATGGCTCCATCAAGGAATTTGAAGCAATGGCAATAACACAGACTTTATCATCATAGCAAAGGATGCTTCCATTGCACTGATGGCTGTAAACATCCCATGAACTGTTTAGGTGTAGAATGGTGCTTGAAAGGTCCTTAGGAAACTTGATAGACTAATTGCATTGAAAATACTTCTAAGATAAGAGATAAATCTTGAGAAGATAAATCTTGAGAAGCACCTAACTGCAGACAAGAATTCCTCAGGGGAGTAGTTGTTCTGTATGCTGAGTGACTTGCTGCTATGTACCCCTAGCTAAGATGTACAAATAGCTATCTCTGGGTAAAAAGTAGGGCTTAGCAAGCACTTTCAAGGAGAATATGAGTTGTAATAGCTACAGCACTAAATCTAGGCTGAGGTTAATCAAAGCATCCTGCTGGTCATCCCTTTCTAAAAGCAACAGATTGTGGATATCCCCAGCTCCAGGCCAACCACTTCCCAGGGGTCTTGCTCCTCTACCAGCCTTACGAAAAATACATCATTCATGTATTTCTTATTACAACATGCAAAGTGTCTCATATATTTGTTTCTCATGACCCAATTTAAATACAAATGGAAAGGAAAAGTTGTTATCTTTAGTTTTCAAGGCAAAGAAGAACTTATTTTGACACAGATATAGTAGTAAAGGAGCATGACTGT